AGAAAGAAAGAAAGAAAGAAAGAAAGAAAGAAAGAAAGAAAGAAAGAAAGAAAGAAAGAAAGAAAGAAAGAAAGAAAGAAAGAAAGAAAAGGGAGAGAAGGAGAGAATAGTAATAGTATGGTGGTTAACAGTATTTGCTGCTCTTGGACAGAAGCCAAGTTCAGTTCCCAATACTCACATGGTAGCTCACAAATATCTGTAACTTCAGCTCTAAGGGATGCAAGGCTATCTTGTGACCTCTGAGGGCAGTGCATCCCCATGAGGTCCACAAACATGCATTCAGGCAAACAGTCATACACATAAAAACTAAATCTAAGACAACAAAAGACAGAGAAAATGTTCATACCCACTACTTAAATAACATACCTATAGCTGATTCAATATTTTCTTTAAGTGTAAACTAAATAAATCCTGAGAAGCCAAAGTACAGACCTAATTATCAATCTGCATTAATAGTCAATTATTTCAAAAAGCTGATGCACTTTCATCACAAAGTAGAGTATAAAAAGAGCAAAGGCACTTACTTCCATTATTGCCAACAACAAAGTTGACATTGGAACCGAACTTAAAAGGTCCAAGCATTGAATGACACATGAAATTTCTTAGCTGAATACTCTCAATTATTCCAACTTCTGCTGCAGTCTATTAAAGAAATTTTAAAAAATCAATCTAATACACTCATTACTAATATCCAAGCATCTGACAGATCAGCATTATTTATTAATGAAATGTTATAGCAAGTGAACAACAGTAACTTCAATGATCAGCATTAAATAAAGTGGGAATTTTCTTTATATAACCACGAATTCTATAATCTATAAAAGAACTATCAAGTATATCACAAAGCTTTTTCTTAACACTGGCAAAAATAACAACTATTACTGGTCAAATAACTTTTGCTGCAGTCTGTCCCGTGCACTGTACAACAGTCAGCAGAATCCTAAGTCTCTTTTCTATACAACAGATGCTGGTAACATGCACCTGTCTTCCAGTTGTGTAGCAACCAAATATTATATTTAGACCTTACTCAATAGTGTGAAAGGAGAGTGTAACACTTCTACAGCTGAGAAGCACTGGTAGAGCACAACTATAAAATATAAAAGTGTATTTAGAATATTCCTGAGAGAGGACTACTTGGCCATAGTTTGAACATGGAATTCATTCTCTAACATGGCATTCCTTTCTCTTAACACAGAATTCAAACAGCACTGTACACATGCTTTTCTCCTGGCACTCTGTTTCAGCCACTTACAAGACCTGCATGACTTTTAGCAACATTTAAAGAATGTAGGATTCCTAAGTCAGTGGTGCACACCTTTGATCTCAGGGCTCAGGGGGCAGAGGCAAGCAGATTTGGAGTTTGAGGCCAGCCTGGTCTACAGATTCAGTTCCAGAACAGCTAAGGTCACACAGAGAAACACTGTCTTAAAAAAAAAAAAAAAAAAAATCAAAACAAACAAAAAAGTAGAATTCCCAAATTTGTAAAGCAGAGGAAAAAACCTCCCATATAATAAACAGATGTCAATATCAAGTTTATAAATTGTTTAATCAGTATTTGGTCAGCAGTACTCATCTGGATGTTATGGGTATTAAGTACCAGAATAAACCAACCAGATTTTGCCAGTCCTAACAACTTTAGAAACCACTTTAGTGTGATCAGCAATTTTTATGGATTCTTTAGAAACTTTCTTTTAATTCTAGCCATATGCCTCATCAAGGAAAATAAAATATTTACATCATTACATGAGTAGAATATTAGGTATTACAATTCATGAATTTTTTTAAAAAATATTTTTACGTTAAGGTAATTGCATGGTGGCACATGCCTGTAAACTCAGCATTCTGGGAGGCAGACACAGTTGAATCTCTGTGGGTTCCAGGCCAGCCTCAGCTACAAAGTGAGTTCAGGACAGCCAAGGCTACATAGAGAAACCCTGTTTCAGAAGAAAAAAAAAAGATAACTACAGAGTCACATGAAATGATTAAGAATTACAACCCTGTGTAGTCTTCGCTCACCTTCTGCCAGTAGCAAAATTTTTAAAAAGCGTAGGATCACGGGCAACCTACTGACGTGGACAGTGTAGACATACCATGTTTCCCTCAAAAGTGATCCATACTTTGTCAGGGATCATAGTAACAATCACATCCCTTTCAACCCACAACCACTCGCCCACTATTCTGTTCTTTATTTCTGTTCATGTTATTCCAAGAATGTCAAATAAATGGATTTATGCAAAACATAATTTTGGGAACTGCTTTTCTCACTCAGTTTAATTGTCTGCTGTTGCCTCTATCAGGCACTGCCTTTTTGTCACTGCTAAGCAGTATTTCATAAAACAGATGTATCACAAGATAATCACCAAATCACATGTAGATTTATTTTTAATTTAACTTTTTATGAATAAAGCTACTAAAAATACATTATATTTTGTTCTAAGATAAATCTACTACAATTTTATAGTTTCTCACAGAAACAAAACTTTTCCATAGAAGTAACAATAATTTACACTCCCATCAGCAAATACATAAATGATTAAATTCTCGTCATTCTTGCCATCTGGTGATACCACTCATATTTTATCATTGTGATGAATATGTAATGGTATCTCATCTATAAGTGTGAAAAACAATTATATTCTTTAGTCTTTTGATGCTTCTAGTTTCAAGTCTGTACTCATGGTCTCTATTCCATTCATGACACTGGCAATGTATGTCTTCTCTTTCCCAGAGGTTTGTCAGTTTTATTTAAAGAAAGTTATTTGTCTCATTTTCTTTAGTTTTTGTAATTATTAACACAAACTTCAAAAACAGAAGCTATTTTTACCCAGCTCTTTCATTTAAAAGTCTTACTGCTTCTTTCTGGCTACAAATTATTATGAAATATGACATATAAAAATGGCCATGAGAAACAATCCAATTGAAAAACACTATTTTGTAATTCTATACTTACCAAAGTAGAGGTTCCATTCGTGAAAGAAATTGTACATTCATCCTCATCTCCGTCTTTATCAAAATCTTCCAGTTCTTCTTGTCTTGGCCTTTTAGCATTTTCAGGAGAGCAGAAATTTTCTTCCTTTCTTTTGGCCATCAGATCTGAACAAATGTTTATAGAAACAATAACAAAAGTCAAGAATAGCATATAAAGACAATTCAATAACCATGAAACAAAGTTGTTGTGGATATAAACATGTTCAGGATGTGGAACTGTTTCAGATGGTCCACAGCAGCAGACTATTTGCTTTATGCCTGTTCTGAGAGGAACTCTTTGCCAGATGCAGATGACACTAACTAGCAGGAAACAGCTAAGAGAACTGTGGCCCCTTTCCCAGTAACCCTTTTTCCTACCTGATGTTGGGGTGTTAGAAAGGACTGGGGAGTAGGGAGAAAAAGATTAAAAAAATATATAAAAAAGTTTTTTTAAGTACCCCTACAAAAAAATAAATCACACAAAACTCATTTAATTTTAAGTAGTGTGTCTAACCATTTTACTTTTAAAAAATAAGTATTCCATCTTACATGAAGTTAAGGAGTTAAAGTACTACAAGAGCAAGGAAACAGATTTTCCCCTAGAACCTCCAAAAAGAAAAGTGCCCCTACTGATGCTGTTAATCTCTAAAGACTTGAGCTAGACCTCTAATTTTCAGACAGGTAAATGAGCAATTTTACAGTAATTTTTACAGACACGAACAAAAAAATAAAAAATCATTACCTGAATCACACATATTGCTGATTTTTACCTCATAGTTATTCATGGCTGTAACGGAATTGGTAAGAGCCTAACTAACTATTTTATTCCCAAACCTATTAAAGGAAGAAGTATTTTATTGGTAAAATGCTGTCTTCTAGTTGTCTAATAGAGGACACAGTGCCTCCTGAAATTATTACAACCATCCAACTTTTATAACACAAATAATAATCAAAACTTGTTTTAAATTATTTTCCAAAGAAACACATTTTGAAGCAGTGATGCCTCACCCTAGTAGTTTATCTGTTCCCTAGATAATCTATCTTGATTATCATAAACCAAGTACTTAAAAAATACAAGCGACTTCAAAGAGTTCTGGCTTGTATTTATCAATATTTTATGTAACAAATTAAAACCCAAAAACTTTTAAAACAAAGGAAACACAACTGCATATCCTACGTCAGGTACTATGTGACAGATTCCAGTTTGCATTCAACAATGCTTTATAGATTCTTGTACCACACTCTGAAAACTACTGTAGGTAATAGACACTGCCCTTGTTTTAAGTTAGAGCAGTGAGGACTAAGGACCATTAAATCATCTGTAGACTTGATGTTCAGAATGTATGTAGTCCAAAGACTAGAAAGCATTATTTCATACACTGGGAACTAGACAGATATCCCAGACCCCCGGCTCCATCTCAGAGCAAGTGAAATAAAAGTCTTAAATAAGATTTAGGTGATTCAAAAGCAATTGTATACAATTTGAGAACTGGTAAATCACATTTCTAAAGGACTTAAGACTCTGTGCCATTCTGCAATCAAGTATCTTTAATCAAAGATATATTAGCATCTGGACATGGTGGTACATGGTTTTTATCCCAGCATTTGGAAGATGGATGCCACAGTTCAAGACCAGCTTGGTCTGCTGCGAGTTTCAGCACAGCCAGGGATACAGAAAAAGCTTATCTTGAAAAACAAAACAAAACAAGATATATTAGCATCCAAAAGAGATGTAACCTAAACCAGTACTTTTCCAAGGACTATTACCATTAATCACATTTGTGTCATAATAGCATCTTTCTCTGCAAATAATTTAGTATTTATCTCAAATCTCTTATACAAGCCAAACTTCAAAACCAAACATCTTTTTTTCCCCCCAAATTACTGAATAATAAGAATCAGTGTATGTTGGTTTCAGCTTGTAGATAATTTACATTCCTCAAGTACCACCAGGTCATTATTTCCCAGGAAAACTTTGTCTCATCTACTCTCTATTCCTTTACTAATTACTTACTAATAATTTGTAAATTGTTAAACAAAGAGAAACCACTCCTCTTTGGTTACCATAACATTAAATGCCTTATAAGCATTATTTTTATTAAAGACTACTAGACGATCTATCAGAAAGCACTCAGAAACAGTCTGAGTAACTTTAGTATTTCATCATTAGAAAGCAGTTTGGCAAGTAAACCTGGGGTGAGCGAGGTACACTAGGCTAAGCGTAATGAGTTTACAACGTGCATGAAAGTCTACACTATACAAAAGATACTACACTCAAACACTCGTAATGAGGCTGCTTTTTATTTGCTGGGTAGAGCCTAGGATTTGCACTCGTCTAGGTTTCCAAGGTAACTACATCTGAGAGGCACTGAAGGATCCTCATACTTTTTAAATGGGAATCACTTTGTGATTTAAGGAAGACAGTCTTTCAAAAACATGTACAAATGTCCTAAGAGTAAGATATAGGTAAAAAAACATAGTAAGACCATTACTACTAACAAGATAAAGACAAAAAATACAAAACAAAAAACAGAGAAAGATTCCTCTGAGATCTTGAGTCCACTGACAGAGCGATGTATTTTATTCTACTTACTTATCTAGAATTTAAAAAAAAAAAAAGTTGTTTTGGTTTGTGTTTGACACAAGGCCTTTCTATATAATCCAGGTTGTCCCAGAATTTGAGTGTTGGGATTTTAAGTGTGTGCGATAGTCCTTAAAAACAAAACGACACAAACAAAACCTACTAAATTAAGGAGTAATATCATCTCCTCTTCAAGCAGGAACAGTGAAAAAAATCAAAAAAGAAAAACCATATATGAAATTTTAATGAGATCCTATAAGTTTTTGCAGGATTGTAAAATTTTGGCTCTTGAGCTTTAACTGTAACTCCTACTTCCCATCGATGCCAAAGTAGAGATTAACAGTAGTGTCCAGCATAACCGAGTTAGACTTACATAATTCTATAATTATTAGAACTGTCTTTAAATAAACATAAATAATACTGATATTCTGAGGCAGAATTACATTCAGACATCTATGCTGAACTGTGTTTGCCATATCCCTAATTGTATTCTTCCTCTCTTCCCATCTGCAAAACACATTCAACCTACATAAAACCTTAATGTACTGAATTGGCTTAGCATATTGTTTGGAATATATTACAAAATAAAGTAAGCTTAACTAGATAATACAATAAAATATTTTGTTAAGTCCAACCACCAAGAAATTCAAGATTGGCAGAAATTGGGAAGTCCTCCACTTTCAATATCCCAGGTAATATGAATAGGCAAATTTGATTTCAAAGCATAGTGAAGTCTGGGATACACTAAGAATGATGCTGGCCAGGCGCAGTGGGCACACACCTATAAACCCAGCATTCAGAGAAGCAGAGGCAGGCATATGTCTGTGAGTTTGAGACCAGCCTGTTCTATGAATCGAGTTGAGGATAGCCAAGGCTACAGAAAGAAACCCTGTCTCAAAAAACCAAATTTAAAATTAAAAAAACAAAATTAAAAAAAAAAATTTCAAAAAGAATGATGCCAAAATAGTTTCTAATAAAATCCTCAACAAAAGCTACAGCAGTTATCAGGGCTAAAGGGGTGGAGATGAAACCAAACAGTTAAAAAGACTAGGTAAAAGTCCAGTCAAGTGGAATTAACATTGTTGAGTAACAATGCTTAGCTCTGGAACAAACTATACCCTTTGATGGCCTTATCATATAAATCATGCCCTTATTTTACAACGTGGGAAACTGAGGCTCAAATGTGAGACTTCAAGTTATGTAGCACCAACTTAGTAACTAGACATAGACAGATGCCGGCAGAACATATTCCAATCTGGAATGGTTTCTCAAACCACTCATGTCCAGGTTCCTACTGGCATAAACAACTGAGTCTATCAGATAATATAGTCATACTTAATGACTGACAATCCCTTATCTTCTTGTAAGTATCTCCAAAAATTAGAAAAAGAATTCTACCATAAAGTGTTCCTCTAAATTTTCCTTTGGGCTTGCTTCAAAAGTTTTCATTTTCTAACTTAACGCTATATACCATTATAAACAGTGTATTTGTAAAGAGGAAAGAATAATAAACTTATTCTGTTTGCAAACAGTTGAGTTTCAAGAGTTCTAAGGATAGACCCTGAGACAGTAAAGTATACTCTGCAATAGAAATCAATCTAGAAGTGGAACAAAGAAAATTACAGAAAGTAGTTTGAATTCGGTGACCAAGAGTAGAAAAAGACGTAACTACTTTAACTTGTATATTTAAAGACACACACACATAAATGTAATACAACTGACCACACTGGACCCTCACCTACCTGGACTTACCAGTTAATGTATATAAAACAACTGTGACATTTATGTATACCTAATGGGCTGGAAAGATGGATCAGAGGTAAAGTGCACTGGCTGTTCTTCCCAGAGAATTCAAGTTTGATTCCCAGCACCCACTTGGAAGCTTAAAACTGTCTATAACTCCAATTGGACAGTATCCAACAGCTCCATGGGCACTAAGAATGCATGTGGTGCCCAGACATACATGCAGGCAAAATACCCATACACATAAAATAACATTTTCTGTGTACTTCAAATATAAATACATGTACTGTTACAGTAGATTTTTAGGTTATCTATTACTTCATGAAGTACTTCTTCAACTATTTTTGGGGGGTCACTGAATATTGGATTCACAGTCCCCACATGTTAAAGTAGCAATTCACCAATGAATAATATTCCTGGACTGCCTACATCTTGATAGACTTTCTTAACAATTAAAATGGTAGTCAAGATTCAGAAGTTTTACATAAAATTCTAGTCTTGTCATGTAGAAAAATCAACCTCTGGAGAAAAAATTTGTTTTATACTAACACCCGATGTGCTGTTTATACCAGCTTTTCATTGAGCTCAATACTGCACGCTTTATACTGAACTAATCTCTCAGGAATCCTGTGACTTAGAACTGAGAGGTAAAGAGGTGGTATCACTCTGTAATGTCACATTATTTGCCTCTGTGTGGAACAATAGCATGTTTTTAAGCAATTACAAGCGGTCTCTGAACTTTGTCTCGAAACTTAATACACCTATTCAAACAATGCTTTTGTTTCTGTTTTTGGACAAGAGTCTTACTCTGTAGCCTGAGCTAGCCTGGAATTCACTAAGTAGCCCAAACTGTCTCACCTCAGCCTCTAACCTAAAGCTGAGAATACAGGTCTGAGCCACCATCCCCCCCCAAAAAGGACAAATTATTTTTCTTTAGGCAGGGCCTCATGTAACCCAAGCTGGCTTCAAACTTGCTATGTAGGAGAGAACCTTTTGATGCTCCGGGCTCCGTGTCCTGAGTGCTAGGATTACATGCCTGCACCACCACACTGGGTTTCATGTGGTGCTGGGGACTGACCTCAAGGTTCTCTGCTTGCTAGGCAAGAACTCTACCATCAGCACTACATTTCCCAGGTCCCAGGAAAAGAATCTAGGAACACAGACCTACACATTAAAAAAAAAAAAAAAAATAGTTTCGCATACTAACGGGATGAGTCTAGGGGAAAGTTCTAATAGGTTCTCCCATCACCCACGCCTCCCTTAAACTAGCAGCTGGCCACTGCATATATTATTATGCGTTCTTAAAGACTCCATCAGCCTTCTTAAGAGTCAGGGAATACGGACTTTGCTAACTTTGAATAGACATCTCAGAACAGCTGGCCTTTAAAATGCAAGCTTAGTCTTCTTTCTACTCATTACCTATCAACTGTAGTAAGGGCTCACATAACTTGTCTTCTGGCTTTAAATGTCAAATAGTTGCTCTTTCTAGGAATCAGTAGTCTCACCTCAAGCCCTATTCTCCCAAGCTCCTTTCTCTAACCTCAGGTCCTGTTTTCTAGAGTTCCCAGTCGTGGTTCCCTTTCCATTCCACAGTAACGGAGGGCAAGAAATGCCATCCAAACCTTTCAAACACCACGATTTACTCTCGCCCAGTTAATCCGAGAGGCGTTTAGGAGAAACTGGAATTAACGGCAAATTCAGATTTCAGCGGCATTTCCAGTGGCCCCCCTTACCCCCACACGGTGCCTGCGCGTGGAGTAGCCAGCTCCGACACCGGCCTCGGCCCCGGCCCCATCTCTGCGGCTGCCCGCCAACGCCCGGGCCGCCTGGGGACGCGCGAGGGCGGGCCGGAGCCCACGGCCAAGTTTCCCGCGGCGGAGAGCGGCGTCCCCGCGGCCCGTGAGCAGGCCCAACCCCGAGCACCCGCGGCTTCCCGGAGGGCCGAGGGCGGCCCGCCGGGGCACGGGGGCCCCGGGCACGGAGAGAGGAAGGAAGCGCGCGACCTCACTCTACCTCCAACAAGTCTCGGTCGCCCCGGGGAAGCTAGTCGGCGCGACTGTCACGACGAGAAGGCCACCCTGAGGGCGTACGACCCCGGCTACCGCTCGCCCGCCAAGCCGGGCGCACCCGCCCCGAAAGCAGGCGGGAGACCCGCACACAAGCGCCCGCCGCGGGACGGTCCGCGCCTGCGCCCCGCCCCTCCCCGCCCCCGGACTCCGCCCGCGCCTGCGCGCTCTAGGGCTTTCGCACCGCCCCGGTCGGCCTTAGGGAGCCGGAAGTGCGCTCAGCGGGCGGGAGCGGTGGGGGAAGACGAGAGGCACGCGACGGCCGGCGGCGGGTCTAGGCGGCGTGGGGAGGCGGGTGGGACGATCTCCGGGCGCCTTGGCAACGGGCCTACGCACGCGTCCGCAGGGCGGACCGTAAGAGGGGAGAGTGAAGCCGCGAGGGCAGGGAGAGGCGGGTCTGGAGGGAAAGCGGTCCGCTTCCCGGAAGGGGCGGGACCAATGGCTGGGCGCTAGATTCGAAGCCGCGGCCGGGAGCTTCCAGCTTGACGAGGCAGGGTGAGGCTCTCTGTTTCGTTTTGTTGTAACTTTGGTTCGGGAGGATTCGGAACTTAGGGGCGGCTCTAGTTATGCGACTCCAGGCCCGACTGGTAAACGTGTCCTTCCACAGCCGCGAGGAGGGCCTTGTCTGTGAGTCCCGCGGGACAGGCCGAGACAGGCCGCCCGGTCCTTGCACCGGCTGCTGAGACAGTGGCGGGATGGCGACCTCGTCCACAGCCGCCCTGCGGGCATCCCCCAAGGCCCCTCCCCGAGGACATCCTCGCGTCCCCTTCAAGGCCGTCGGGTCGCCGATTCCCCGACGCCCGCTCACACACCGCTCTGCGTTACGGTCGCAGTTGGAAAAATAGTTTTTCTACAGCACTAACCGCTTGCGTCTGGTCCTTTCTCCCCCTACCGGTTCCACCCACCGCTTTAAATAAATGCGCAGTTAAAGTTGTTCTTGGCCCTCCTCCATTCGCTTCTCAGTCCGATGCTAATCATCCATCCCTTCTTTACACAATTTCACATCAGTATGCCGATTTAGCCAAGTAACTTCGCCCAGATGTCACTTCCTCCAGGAAGCTTTAGTAGTTATTTTCTATATACTCCTATGCTTTTATTTCTTTACCTCGGACGGTACTATTCATCCTATTAAAAGGCTAATTTTTCCCACGACAGCCTCACCATACCAAGATATATAAATCTAAAACCTGATCGTTGTCGTATCTCTAGCACCCAGGCACATTCCTAATAAATACTGATAGGTAAATTAAACATGGACCTCAAAGTTTAAATTCATATGACAGTATAACCGAAACAAAATTTAAAACAGCACGACTTGGTGAAAGTATGTGGTAAATCCCTTACAGATACAATCCGGCATGATGAAAGTTTATACTGTTTGGCAGTTTTTATGTGAAAATACAGTTCTCTAAATGTGAATTTGGAAATTTAACTATTTCCTGTCATTCCCTTAAACTTCGACAAAGTAGAAAATTTGCTTAATGTAGTTTCTGCATAAATCAAGCTATTGGCTTCTTTTTATGTTCTTTACATTTGATTCATTAGTGGAATTAGCAAGGGTCTGCGTTTTTCTCACCTCATTCAGTTTTATAATTAACCAATGGAAACTTAATAGCTTTTAAGGAAGTTTTAGGAACATAAATGGATTTATGGGTACCATATGGTTACATCAAAGGATGGGTTTTGTTTTAACTTGATTCTTAGGCCCTTTGTTAATGTAGAAACATCTTCTGTCAAGCCATAATCTGGATATTCCTGCTACTGAAATCGGTCTTGAGAGTGAAAGGATATTAGAATCTTGTCATTTGTCTCATTTTCTAGAAAGGCTCATTGTCTTTCCAAGGCTACACGGTTGGTCAGTGGTATATCCAAAACCCAAATCCTAGGCTTATGTACTCCAAATTCAGTGCTTTTTTCATCAAACTGTATACATTGAAGCTATTAATGAGTTATAAAACTATTTGTTACATATTAAGATTTTGTTCTCTCCTTGCTTGTTTCACAACTAATTCTTAAAAACTAGAAATATATTGAAATACATGTTGTTAGTAATTTATGTTGGTTACATTATAAGAATGACAACAATAGTTAATATAAGAAGTTTGAGTACAGACACAAATTTACATGGTTTTGGAGGATTTAATAGCTGTAGTATTTTTAAAGTTTACTTAGTGCTAATCTGTCTTCAAGTATGGAATATGACCTAATCAAGAACTCCTGTACTGTCTTTTAGTGCAGTTATACAACTTAAGTACTGTTCCATTAGGTCTCTTTTTGGAGTTTCACAAGCTTTTACAATCTTTTAACTATTGCCATGTAATATCACTTCAGAGAAATGACTGGTACTAAGAACATAACAGAAAGTGAGAGAGAGCAGTAAATGGTGGCTTAACTTCATTTTTAAAACAAGCTGTATGTACTTTCTAATACAATATATATTTCATACCATTGTTTTGGGATCGAGATATTTTTAATGGCTGCTCTTCACAGAGAATATGGGTTTTTAAACTTACAGAAATGGTGGAAGAAATCCTAAAATAGTATTTTTTTAATAGCCAGACCTGACATATACCTTTAATCCCAGTACTCAGGAGGCCGAGCAGGCAGATCTGTGTGAATGCTAGGCCAGCAAGGTCTACATAGCAATTTCAGGACAGCCAAACCTACATAGTTAGACCCTGTCTCAAAAAAAAAAAAAAAAAAAAATTATGTGTGTGTGTGTATACACAAAGTATTATATATAAATGTAAATGTATATATTGTAGGTGTATATATATGTTATACTTACAATACATAATTTTGTAGTATTTTAAGCTTTCTATCTCTTTTATAAAATAGTTACCATGAATGCCCAAAAACACTTCTTTGTTTGACTGTTTTTCAAAACAGGATTTCTCTGTGTAGCCTTGGCTATCCTGGACTCACTTTGTAGGCAATGCTTGCCTCACACAGATCTGCAGTCCTCTCCCTCCCCAAAAACAGTATCATTTTTTTAAACACATGATTACTCAGGTTATTGGGGAGAAAAAAATGGGAAGAAGTAAGAAGAAGCTGGGAATATCTTATTACAGACTTAACTGTATGCAGCCGAATTAGTGAAGTGTTAGAAATGGGGGGTAAAGAATGCATTTTGCAGACACAATGCACTGAACATTTGGCTGTTGGAGAACAAAGAAAACAAAAATGACTACTAGGTTTGGAGCTTAAGAAGACATTCTTGGGAAACACTAGGACTGAAACAGTTTTAAGGAGAGGTGATGGGATTAAAAAGTTTGGTCAAAACTTGGCAAATCCAGTACTTGGGAGTTGAAATAGAAAGCACAAGTTCCAGATCAGCTCTACATAGCCAGACCAAGTCTCAGAAAACCAACAGAAGCCGGATGGCAGTGGCAGATACCTTTAATCCCAGCCCTTAGAGGCAGCCATATGTCTGTGAGTTCAAGGCCAGCCTAGTTTCCAGAGTCCCACAACAGCCAGGACTACACAGAGAAACCCTGTCTCAAAAACTAACAGAAAAGACAGGTGGATATTTGCATCCAACTAAAGTGAATTAGTCACTTCAGAGAGTATAGCAAATGAAAAGGATTAATCATATTAGAGGTCAGGCTAGCAAGTTCTAATTCTTGTGGCTACCTCTACTTTTAATATTCCTTAATGTAGTTCCAGTCTATATTTTTTGTAGTTAGTTTTATCTTGATGGCCTTATAGGAAATTCAAGAAGCACTAGTAGGAATTCATTGTAAGAGACACCAAGGGCAATATCAACAAACCATATTGTTTTGGAGAGCTCTTGGACTTTCCTGACCAACAGTGCCTGGCACGAGGATTTTTGTGAACCTGTTTGGGGGGACACTGTCACTCCAATTGGTATAATTTCAATTAATGCCTATGTGTAAATGTATATATATATATATATATAATATTAATATTATAAATTAATATTTCAGAAACTTAATATTTCAGACACTGCTAGTGTTTTTTTATTCTTTCTGAAATGAGTCTTTTCGGGTATCCAGTATGAGTCATAAATAAAAGCAAAAATACAGAGAGTTTCTTCAAATTTTATTTGATGTTAATGTGCTTTAGTGGCTAGTACTTTACAAATTTTATTTACCGTCATAATAATGTCTTAGAAAATGTATATGCCTCTTCTCTTTCCAGAACTCACTACAGCTTTTCAGGTTAACTCAATCTGCCACATGTTAACATAAAATAAATTAGCACTGGCCTCCTATTTACTACATGGTACTTTGTGCTTATGTATTTTTCTTTGTAAAGTGACATAATCATGTATATTTACATGTCACAAAAACAAGTGCACAAAATAACACTCATTGCAGGACTGGCAAAATTACAAAATCAAGAGTCAGAAAACTGAGGAAACAATATGCAGCAGCCTTCCCAGCATTGATTTTCATTGCATCTGTGTGGATTCATAAAGTATTTTTAGAAGAAAAGGCAGACATTTTTATTCAGAAGGTTTCTTCATATAAAAATGGCCTTTTGGTTTAATATATCTTTACCATCTACCATGGCTTTTTAGGCCGAATTAAGGTCATTATTCAGAGGATAGTCTGGATTGCATTCATGTAGTCAGATATAATATTCATCGTAAATACTATGTATCTTTATCAAATAACAACAAAGGTAAAGAAAAATAGGTGCAGTTTTTTTTTTTGTTGTTTTGTTTTGTTTTTTTGAGATAGGGTTTCTCTGTGTAGCCTTGATGTCCTGGACCCACTTTGTAGACCAGGCCAGCTTTGAACTCACAGAGATCTGCCTATGACTGCCTCCCTGACTGCTGGGATTACAGGCGTGCGCCACTGGGCCCAGCTTTGGTGTAGATGTTTAATAAAGAAGAGTTATCTGACAACAGAGTTGAAGGTGATTTATTCCTAAATTTTCCTGTACTGTACAAGGAAAAGGAACTAGCATTAATTCCTTTGGATGGTAAAAACACAGGTGATTTTAAATATGTTGCTTTACATTTCATTTTTCCAAAGTGAACTGTACGGCCATATAACTAAAAACAATACTTGTTATAAAAGTGTAACTGTATTTCTCCAGTATTTTCTATATCATATCCTCCCTCCCTATTTTTCCTGCAGTTTCTGAGGACTAACCTTGGATTTGGGGGTTGTTTTTGTTTGTTTCTTTAGCTGTTTGCTTCCTTGCTTAAGTGTTCTTCAGATAACAGTTGATAATCGCCAGGATGGGAGTGAATGACTTGTGGCAAATTTTGGAGCCTATAAAGCAGCATATCCACTTGCAGGATCTCAGTGGGAAAACCATTGCCGTTGATTTGAGTCTCTGGGTATGCGAGGCACAGACAGTGAAGAAAATGATTGGAACGGTCACCAAGCCGCACCTCAGGTATAGTAAAGTTTCTAAGAATATAGATGAATGATGTGTGGCCTGGCTTTGTTTCAACTTTTTAAAATTGTCTTATATTTGAGATTTTTTTCTTAAGATTTATTTTATTTATTTATTACATATACAGAGTTCTGCCTGCATACCAGCAGAGGGTACCAGATTTCATTATAGATGGTTGTGAGCTACCATGTAGTTGCTGGGAATTGAACTCAGGACCAAGCAGCCAGTGCTCTTAACCTCTGAGCGTGCTCTTAACCTCTGAGCTACTTTCCAGCCCCCCCCCCCCTTTTTTTTTGAGACAAGTTTTTTTCTGCATAACAGCTCTGGCCATCCTGGACTACCTTTGTAGATCCACCTGCCTTTGCCTCCCAAGTGCTGGGATTAAAGAAGTGAGCCACCACACTATTTAACACATCTTGATCTACCATTTTTATAGTGATCGCTTAAGATATGGATCCTTTAATCTCCAAGCTTCAAGCTTACCTATCTCTCTCTACTGGCATGCTTCACTTACTAAATGCCATTATTCCTCTCTCTTATCTCTCCAGTCAGTCTATTAGGGTTCAGGAATAGCCCCACACTGACCACTTGAACACCAGACTCAGACTAAGAAGTTTATTGAACCATGAACACTGTCCCATCAGGGACACAATCTGGGCTTGGGAGCCAGACTGTGACCCTGAGCCAATTTGAAAGTGAGTTTTAAAGGGAAAAACATACCCAGCAGGAAAAAAAATCATTTCTTTTCCAGGTACATTGTGTCCATCCAAGCAAGAAGAATAATTTTTGTTTCAAGTTCCTTGTGTCTTTAAGCTGATTGGCTGGAATTAAAGCTAGGGAGCTCTTGGGAACTTTCCAGCTTTCCCAGTGAGAGTAACCTAGCTGGGCATTGAGATTTTAACTATAACAGAACATACATTTATCTTTAACTCAAGCAGAACAAGTATTTAGCATCTATTGTTTTATTCTAAGCAGCAGGTACTGAAGGGCAGGTAGAGCCTGAGAACTTGAACTCTATTTCACCTTATGATCAAAATGGAGTCTTAAAGACAAAATGGCTTCTGTTATGCTAAAGGAAAAAGCAGGTGTTAACAAAGGAGACATAGTTATGCTAAGAACTAAAGTAGGTCTCAACAGAGGGCCTATAGTTATGCAAAAAAAAGTTTAAGTAGGCTACAAGTTCATCAGTAATTCTTCCCAGTTCTGCCTCCAAAATACATTGGGTTCACAAATTCTTCTTAATGTCCAGAGATGCCACATCAGTCTTTGCCATCCTCATTTCCTATCAGTATCTGTGCTGCTGGAATGGCATTTTCACTCCCCTTCGCCTGCTCTTAGCCTCTTCCTCCAAACCAGTTTTTAGATAGCTATATATACATATCTATATTTAGTCAAAAATCACTCTTGCTCAAATGTCAAATGCTTGCCCATTCTCCTTACAATAAAATATTGGCCAGCCAGATGGTTCAGTCAGTAAATACACTTGTAGCCTGAGTGTGATCCTCAGAACCCACATGGTAGAACAATAGAACGACTTTATGCAAATTGTCTTTTGACCTCCACACAAAGACAGTGACGTGAATGTGTGTCCTGCGCCCCACCCCCCCACAGGAATAAATGTTTTAAAATGTTACTGCGTGAACATTTTTTGTATTAACCAAGTGTTCTTAAGTCATTTTTATACTGCTTTTTGGACTTGTTATTAATATGATGATTAATATACTACTAATTTGTATACTTCAGGAACCTATTTTTTCGTATTTCACATTTAACTCAAATGAATGTAAAACTGGTATTTGTCATGGAAGGGGAGCCACCAAAGCTGAAAGCTGATGTCATGAGCAAAAGGACTGAGACTCGTTATGGGCCTTCTGGAAAAGCAAGGTCTCAGAAAACAGGAAGATCACATTTTAAGTCAGTCTTACGAGAGGTAAGCATTCAGATTCACCTAGTAATTCTTATTTGCATTAAAGAGTACATTTTATAAACTTATGCTCATTAACCAATTGTGACTACAGGAGTTAGTATCGTGTGCAGATTTTTTGTTAGAGTGAAACAGACCCGAGGCCAAGTTCTAGCACTGGCATTTAGAAAGTATGAGAAAGTGGGCAGGATTCTAACTTATTTGCATTTTAATTCTTAGTGAAATGGGTATAGTATTACTCTGTAGTGATTTTATAAATACTTGAGAAATATGTCTATAGTAAATAATCCATGATAGGGCTTGATTATTTTTCCTTTTAACTCCAGCAGGTCTAGAATTCATGAGAGCCATAAGTCGTTTGCTTCTTTGATAATGGTTAAGAACATAAATATTTAGGAGGCAATTTGATAACTTGTCCATTCCGCAAAGCAACAGTAGTGAGTTCAGTGCCTTTGACCTCTCCAGCTCTTGGCCTCCCAGGACTACAGTAACAGGAGTTGGAAGGGCCTCAGATTCATCAGAAATCAGTTGCTTGTCATAACAGTCACTACACTAGTGCACCAGTGAGCACCTCTTGCCTAGCAAGTTGGTATAGCACGCAAAGTCCAAAAAAGAGTAGAGTGTCTTTTATCCACAACTATATGCATAACAAATTCTGGCACTTTGAAGGTTACCGAGCAGGATTTACAGGGTTTTGTTTGTTACAGGATCTTGCCATAAAGCCCAGGCTGCCCTGGAACTGGTTATATAACTTGGAGTGGCCTCCATGATCCTCCATGACCACTCCCCCATCAAGTTACAGTTTTTAAATTTTTATTAAAATCTAATTACATCACTTTCTCTTTTTCTTCCTGTCAGCCCTCCAACTCCTTCCATGTACCCTCCTCAAATTGATAGCCACTTTTTCTCTATTGAATATTGTGTGTGTGTAAAAGTTTGCTTAAATATGTAAATTCAACCTACTGAGTCCATTTTCATTGTTTGTGTGTGTGTGTGTGTAGTTTTAGGACTGACTACTTTGTATGGGATAACCAATTAGAGAACTCATCCCTGGAAGAGGCAATTCTCTCTCTATCAGCAGTCATTAGTTGCTATAGTTCTTTGTAAGGGGTGGGGTTCCATGAGCTTTCCCCCATTTTAGTTAGCATATCTATTGCTAATATTCCAGTCTCATTTATGCAGCCATTTCTTGGAGAGACTTTCACAGTCAACTTCCTAGTATATTTATAAGGAGTTGTAGTTTATTGTTGGCTTTTCATTTAACACATCATATACATAGTTCCCTGTTGTTGCTTTCTATTCAGAATTATAGCTTATAAGTTTATACAATATGTATGGGGCTGTGAATTTTATTCAGTCTTACTTACCTATCACCCATTTTCATATTTCTACACACCCAGCAGGTCAAAAAAGTACAAATTAATCATCCTTCAATGCTACAAACAAATCCTAGATAATAAGTAGAAGAAGCCAGGCAGTGATGGTGCATGCCTTTAATCCCAGCATGCGGGAGACAGAAGCAAGGTAGATTTCTGTGAGTTTGAGGCTAGCCTAGTCTACAAAGTGGATAGCCAGGACTACCCAAAGAAACCCTGCCTTGAAAAACAAACAAACAAAAATGACTGAGGAGAAAATTGCAACTGCCATATCATAACTTGTGTGCTGCTGCTTTGAAAGGAGTTGTAAATGGCACACAAAGATGAAATAACATTGTTTATTATGAAAAGATAATCCCTAGCTAGAGAAAAGAGAGAATATATGCTAATAGCAAAAATGTGTCAGCAAAGTCATGTAGTCTTGAGACTGTTGGCCTTGGGCTACTTCTGGTAGCTTTTTTTGTTATGTATCATACAAAAGATTAAATATTCTGAGCAACAGGTGTTTATTCTGCCAGTCTGTATAAAGGACATTTGCATAGCCTTTTTTCTGCATTTTCAGAATTCCTCAATTCAGAAAGTGCTGTAAATTGTAAATGGCAAGAAAAGGAAAACAAAGTTGCTGGTGAAGATCAAAGCCATAACCCAAATGAATCTCAAAGTGGCTTACTTATTTATCATAAAAGGATAAAATCACCTTACATAGGTATTTGATTCCCTAGAAGGAACCATCAACTTAGCCTTGTGAGAGTTTTCCACTGTTGTATGATGCTATTCCTTAGGAAATGCTTACCAGTAGAGAACTGATGACAGACTAAAGTAAGGAAACTACTAAAATCCAACTTGGTGAACCAATGAGTTTTGTTTGGGGGGTGGTGGTTGTTACTTACAGGAATATGGGTAAGAAATCAGAGGAGCAGGGACAATTCTGTCACCAAAAGTTCATCCCACATAGGCAACAGCTCTTAAAGGCTGGAACCTGGAGTGCACTGCACAACCTGCTGTAGTTCAGGAGTTGTAGAGGATCCATTCTAGGTGGCTCAGTTGGTCTGAGCGTCGTTGGGTCTGTTTCTTCCAGGCAGCTCAGCTCAGCTCAGCACTCTCTCCTCTCTCTTTCCCCTCTTTCCTTCTCTCCCTCTCTTTCATGTTTAGATGGCTTCGTGGATTGGTTTCCCAACAGCCCTTACTAGTTATATGTGCTTGGGAAGAGAGGGGCCTAGTGTCACTGGCCAAAGTCAGGGACTTCCTGAACCAGTAGAGTAGTTTATTTTCTCATCTGAACTTAGTGAGCTTCCTTGCAAGATGGAATGTTTTCACTCCCTCACTCCCTCTTAGAACATACAGTGTCAGTTTCAACCATGATACTGTAGAATTCTCAATACTTCAGTGTTGCCTTCTGCAAGATAACCAAGTTATTATTTTAATTATCTCACCTAATATGTTAGCAATCTTTTCTTAATGCCATTAAATTATTCAGTGTCCAAATTTCCAAGTGTTTCTTAAATGTCATTATTTTTTTAAATACCCAAAAGATAACTACTACTAATGTTTTAGTATAGAAGTAATTTAAAATTCTGAAAAAGTTGAATGATTTGCACCAACTCCTTGTTTCAGTGCCTTGAAATGCTAGAGTGCCTAGGAATGCCCTGGGTCCAGGCTGCGGGGGAAGCTGAGGCCATGTGTGCTTACCTTAACGCCAGTGGCCATGTGGATGGCTGCCTCACCAATGATGGCGATGCTTTCCTTTATGGAGCCCAGACTGTTTACAGGAATTTCACTATGAACACAAAGGTATATCTTTTCTCTCTCTCTTGCTATGTGTTTACCCTGAGATAATATATGTAAAATGCTTCCAAGATGCCTGGCAAATGGTTACTACTAAATGTTTACTAATTTAAAATATCATTCATTGTACATTTCAGTAAACTAGAAAGTATTTTGAAAGTTTTCACCATTAATGTATATTACATATATTTGTAGACTTAGGTTTTTTTATTATTATTACTATTTGTACGTATGGGGTAAAGAGTATGTGCATATGAGTGCAGGCATTGAATCCACCTGAAGCTGTAGTTAAAGGGATTTGTGAGCCACCTGAAGTGGGTATGTGGAATTGAACAAGGAGCCTCTTCAAAAGTAGTATAAGTAACCACTAAGCCATCTCTCCAACTCTGTAAATAACTATTAGAGGTGACAGAGATGATAAAGCTGTTATTTATTTTAAAAAAATTACAAAGTAACATTTTAAAAGGTATTGTGGGCCAGCAAGATGGTTCAGTGGAGAAAGGCACTTAAACTGGAGTTTGATTCCCAGAACCCACATGGTGGAAGAAAAGAAGTGACTCCCCTAAATTGTTCTTTATGTTCCACTCATGCAACACAGCACACACATACAAATGAATAAGTAAATGTAATTTAAAAAAAAAATACTGTGGAATAGTTTATTCTCTTCAATAATTTCTCTCTAATGTAACATAAAATTATGTGTGAAATGAATTGCTGTGTCCTAGAACTTCCAGTTTCAGTATTTAATCCTCAGAACACTTTCAAATGTACAAGAAGATAGATACAAGGCAGGAAATTCTTTGTCACAGTATTAATAACTATAAAAAAAATAGCAAGCCAAATGCTTGTTCAGGAGTGTTTAAATGTTTCACAGTTATGATTCCTAGCTGGGAATTCCTAGTAAGTATCATTTTTATTATAGCAACTGGGTGAAGGGAGACAAGACAGCCTACACCTCGGCATTTGCTTTATTAGGGCCAGTAAGGCTAAACTTCACATCTCTCAAAATGCTACTAGGGTTTTCCGATAAGTTCCAAGCCCCAACTGCCCTTCAGGAATCTGTCCCTTGCACCCGTCGCCCTGCTTGGGTTGTTAGCAATTCTTTCCTGACTCTTTACTTTGGCATAAAGGGAACGTTAAGGACAGAAGCAGGGAAGGATTTTTGGCCTCTGCCACTGGGACACCTGCTGAAAGTTATTGTCATTTGAAGCAGGTTTCCCACCCAAACACCCCGACTGGGACTCAAGCACGCACAGAGGTTCTCATGCTCTGGACACTTTTCACTGGTACCTTATAACTGGAATTCGGGGTGCAGCTCAAAAACCCATTAATGTGTATGACTTCTAAGGTTCTTCAGGGCCTAGAAGAGTCTCCTGAAGCATTCCTAAAGCGATTACAAAATGAAAAAAAAAAAGCTTTAAAAATGTACACCTCTAGCCAGGCATGGTGGCACATACCTTTAATCCCTGTACTTGGGGAAGCAGAGGCAGGTGGATCTTTGTGTGTTCAAGGCTAGCTTGATCTACAAGTGAATCCAAAACAGCCAAGACTACACAGAGAAACCCTGTCTCAAAAAAACAAAAAATAAATAAATAAAATTTATACCTCTTTTGATCACTGGCTTCACTAAATTTAACTTTTGTCACTCAATCAGCTCTGGATATTCGCCCCCCCCCCCCCCCCCAAATGCTAGTAGGTCCCTAGAGAAGTATTACTGCAGAGTCAGTGTGATCTGGTACTAAGCAATCATTTTAAAAGATATCTTAGAGCAGGTGTCACAGTACCTTTCATCTCAGCATAGTGGATATAGGGCAGGAGGGATTTTGTGAGCTCTAGGTCAGCCTTGTCTACAAACCAAATTCAGTGAGATTTTGTCTCAAACTGGGCAAGGGGAGATGCGCTACTGACAAAAAATACCAAGGCATATTGTTGGAGGAAATGTTGCAAAACAGTTTCTTTATATAATTCTACCTTTATTAAAAATAGCATGAATAGTAAATATTAATATGAATGTCAGAGAAAATTACTTTTTGGAAGAATGTGTACTAATACAGAAATGTAGTGAATGTTTTATTTTCTACAATAAATATATACCATACATTGCACTTTTTAGACACCGATAGCAATAAAGAGGGAAAAAATGCTGAATATGAAGGGTTTTTCTTATTTTAATATATGTTTAGTAAGTTTTTGAGAATTTTCTACACGAGTTCAAGGTTGATCATAGTTAACACCCACTCTTCCCAGATCTAATTCTCACCCTCACTCTCTCTGCCTTAGTTTGCTTTCCATTGCTGTAATAAACACCACAAGCAAAAACAACTTGGGGAGGAAAGGGTTTATTTGAGTTATACTTCCATGTCGTCATAATTGAGAGAAGTCAATATAAGAATCTAGAAGCAAGAACTGATGCAGAGGTCATGGAAGAATGCTGTTTTCTGGTTTTTCCTCATAGCTTGCTCGGCTTGCTTTTTTATACAGCCCAAGGATAGATAACACTCTACCCACAGTTGGCTGAGCCCTCCAACATCAATCATTAATCCAGAAGGTTTCCCCAATGACTTGCCTACTCAGCAATCTTGTGAAAATATTTTCTCAGTTGAGGTTCCCTCTTTCCAGATGACTCTAGCTTATGTCAAGTTGACAAAAGAAAGAAACAAACAAAAGAAAAACAAAAAAAGCTTGCCCTCCCAAATTCATGTTCTTTATTTTGTTATATTTATTTATTTTTTTTTTAAAGCCCATGGTTCCAATTTGTAATGCATGTATACTATTTGGTATGGTGCTGTCAACTTAGGGCCTAGACAACCTACTAAATTTAACACAGCCTTAAAAAAAATTGACTGTTCCTCCCACAGAAACCATCAACTGTCAATAGTTCATCAGCCAGGGGTTGTGGCTCCTGAGCCTCTCCTGCTGAAATATTGACTGCCTGGATCATTGTCAGGCAAGCACAGCTGCTGTAAGTTCATAGAGTTCTGTCTTGTCCATAAGACACTCTTTTGCTCCTATCCTCCCCAACCTCTAGCTTTATAATCTTTCTGCTCGCTCTTCCACCATGATCCCTAAGCCTTGGGGTAGGGAAATGTGGTATGCATGTCTAAGCACTGTTCATACACTTATTCTCTGCACATAAAGCCCACTTTTTCTTTCATGAGGTTTATGAACTGTAGTTATCTATGGGTATAGACATGCAAATTTTAAAAGGCAGGTAGATACTATGTTCACTTAGCAAAGTAATAGTAGTAGGTTCACCCCTGGACCTATGAGCTCCCCAACCAGATATACAACACCAGGCATAAGTTTCCTCTTATAGAGTGGATCTTCAGTCTCATCATAAAGTAGTTGGTCACACTCATTCATGCCACAATTGAATCTATATGCTGGTCATTATTGTAGCTCACAGGGTTCACAGCTGGGTTAGATTGTTGATGACTTTTTCTTCCCCACAGCAACATGTATAACACCTTCTCGAACTTTGAAAGATGGCCAATAAGGAGGAACTTTCAGTTATACTGTATTCATTTATTGAAATGTCATATTCTATAGATATTGTTGTGATCAGGAAAAATTTCTTGTTTAAATTTTTAGAAAAAGACTTTGACAAAGTCATTCAAAACTCATTCTTTCTACTGTTTAAAATAAAACACTCGGAAGATGAAACCTGTGCTTTCTTTAGGATCCACATGTTGACTGTTACACGGTATCATCTATCAAGAGTAAGCTAGGCTTGGACCGCGATGCTCTGGTTGGACTGGCGGTACTTCTTGGTTGTGATTACCTTCCAAAGGCAAGCTCAGCTCATCACTTTTTCTCAATATCTTTCGTACTTCATGCTCCCCCTTTCTTGCTCTCTGTTTTTTTTTCTCTCTCTCTCTGTGTGTGTGTGTGTACATACTACAGGTGTATAACTAGGAATTCATTTAGGTTTTAAGTATAGGACATTCATTAAGAAAAAAAATCAGGACTGATGAAATGATTCATGGTTGAAAGCACTGCTATGCAAGCCTGACAACCTGAGCTCCATGTCTGGGATACCCATAAAGATGAAAGGAAAAAACCAAGTAGACAGTTCATATGCTCACCAACACAAAACAATAATAGGTAAATAAATTCAAAAGCAATCATCAACTCAGACAATGCTATCTTTGTAAAGAGGTATACCCCTGCATACCTTTCTGACAGTCAACTTTACAAAGAAGACTGCAATAGTGGCTCTCCATCCTCAACCTCAAAAGTGTGACGTGTGCCTGACTAACCCGTTAGAAAAGCTTAAGCATTACTCTTGTTTTATAGCAATGCTAGTTTCTATTATGGCTTTCTCTATTTTTTAGCTCTCTATACCCATCGTAGCTGTCTAGTTACACATATGTGCAGTGCTATTATTGGTCCTGCTAAGCAGTGTCGTTACTACAGTAAGCCATTCATACCTCCCTGCCTCTTAGCATTGTGTTAGATTTTGTTCAGAGTGGGTAAGAACACAAGGATAACCTTTTCATAAATACCCTGTGTGAAAATGCAGATGATCATTATTATATTTCTTTGTATGTGTTCCCATTATTCTTGTTATTAACAATAAAGTTTGTTTTTCTACTTTATGAAAGGGAGTACCTGGAGTTGGAAAAGAGCAAGCATTAAAACTTTTGCAGATTTTGAAAGGTCAAAGTTTGCTTCAGAGGTAACTAAACACTTTTTCCCCCCATATTCTTGTTGAACTTAGTAGTGAATACTACAGAAAGGACTATTTTTGAACTACTCATTTTCAGTAATTAATTTTTACTTATTTTTTTAAGTCTTCCAAAGGAAGGAAATGACTATATGTTCAAAGCAATACTATTAATTTTGTATTGTACACACAGTACAATGTCAAATGTTTTAATTTATAGTCACAAATTTTTTTCTGTAGGCTGTTTTATACCATTATTATCAAGTAAAGATGAATATTACAAAGTAATTTTGTATTTGAGTCTTTGGTAGTATATTTTGTTTTAATAAATGAAGTACTATATAGCATATTGGAAATATTTAATAAGTAACATTTGATAAAGAACTTTTAATTTGGGCCAGCTATGTGGCTCAGCAAGTAACAGGATTTGAAGCACAAGCCTGACTATCTGAATTCATCTGATTGTTACAATTCATGATGGAAGAAGAGAACTGACACCTAAAAGTTGTCCTCTGACTTCTCCGTGCACACTATGGCATATACATGCCTCCCTGCACACTCACACACACCACACACTGTAGACATGAATGCACACACACTACTACGATAGGTAAAACTTCAGAGATTTTGACCTTGTTCTTTGTCTTCTTGCTATACATTTCATAATATGTTAATTCTAATTTGAGTTGTATACGTTGAGAATACAATTGCCATACAAGTTATATTGAAATTTACAAAATACTTATTCTCTTAAAAGCTTGTCAGTTATATGCATTTGATAAAAGCAACAGTTTCTTAAAAAATGACAAGATATAAAATGAGAAAGAAAAGAGACCAGGGAGACTGAACATATCATGACCTCCCCTCAGTAGGTGTGAGGTGGTATGTGCAGAAGTGAAGAAATGACTAAAAATGTTTTAAATCACTGTACTCTTTGTTAAAATGGGTCTCTTAGCTGTAAAGCTGTTGGTAGAAGTAAGTCTTCAGTGAGTTCCTATAGACATCTATGATTATTATGCCAAAACAGGGAAGAAATGTTATAATTTGGCATGGGAATAAAGAAACCCTCTCATAATTGTCTTTACAATAAAATAAAGAATGACATAAGTATGTTGTTTATTTAACTCTAAGCTACTCATTGAAATAGTGTCAGCAAATACATACTTTTTGCAACATTTATATATACTTTTTGCAACATTTAATCATGGTCTTTACACTTGAAGATGATCATATTTTTTATAATTATCAATTCTAATTTTAATGATTTATATTATTTCTCCTGTTTTTTAATCTTTGAAGCTCTATTCTCTCAGAAGCTATTAATACAGATTTTTAGTAGACTTAGAGTTATTCTTGACAGTAAATGAGTCAAATTTTCCAACAGCTAATTAATTACCTCAGCACTACACATTACCCTGTGAACTCAGTGTTTCATCAGTAGCATCTAGCTGCCCTTGTTAGTATTGTAGTAACCTGAAACTTTAGCCTAACAAACTCATAAAAACAAGAAAGACTGAATGACTGTGATTAGATATGTATCTGTACAGATATACACATATACATGCTCTGTCCCCTTTTTCAATTCTCTACCTGGGACCACCTGTAAAGCTTGTAGAAAACTAAACATTTTCCCAGGCCAGGCAAGTGGGTTTATAATTACCAAAGAAAAAAAATTTACAGGGTAAAGAGAATAGGATAAACTAACATTTGAGAATGTATTTTTATTTTCTCAATTTTTTTCTTCTATTTTTAAAACTTATTTTCTAATAAAGGTTTAACCAGTGGGTTGAAGAACCTTACTATTCTAATCCACAACCAGCAGCTAAAAAAGTGGTTCACTGTTCTGTGTGCTCCCATCCAGGTAAGCAGGCATAGGGGATACCTCCAGAATATTGGAATCTGAATTCACTCTTACAGTCCTGCTCTCATCATACTTTCTTATGCCTTTATTAAGACACTACTTGGAAATGCCTTAGAGTCAGAAGTTGAGTTATACAGACATTGTGAACATTCAATAAATGCTTGATAAATGAAAGTGTGGTAGCAATGATAAATATAAAATGGTAAAATATCACACTATGTTACCATATTATTTAGATTTTAAAATTATCATGGTTGTAATATGTGAATATTTTTATGAAATACAGTCTTATAGGAAAATGGAGCTAGAACCAATTATTTTTATATCAGTGTTTTATGTTTATATGCTTAATTAATTATTTGCTGTCTATAGTACATTTTACTGGCTATTAGATATGACCTTAAACTAGTTTTTTTTTTCTTTTAAAATTGTTTTAGATTTATTTTTGTTAATTTATGTGTATGAGTGTTTTGCCTTCATATCTGTGCTCTAGTATATGGTAAGCCTCCATGTGGGTGCTGGGAATCAAACCCAGGTCTTTTATAACATCAAGTGCTTTTAACCCCTGAGCTAACTCTCCAGTCCCCTTAAAATTAGTTTCTAATACAAATTCATTCTTGTTGGAAATAGATAGATCTTCATTAGTCTTAGTTGAGAAAGGTAGACTTGAACAGGAGCTGAATGTGGTACAAACCTGTAATTCAGTTCTTGGGAGATATAGACGGTAGGATCAAGAGGTTCAAGGCTAGCTTCACTTACTTAGGGAGTTTGAGGCCACATGAGTTTGAGCTACATGAGACCCTATCTCAAAAAAAACAAAACAACAACAACAAAAAAAAAAAAAACCACAACCATAAAGTGTGTTTCCTTTCAAAGGAAATGAGGGCCCCAGCCACACCTGTGCTACAGTGATTTTCTTCCTGTTCTTAGTTTAAAATAGCTCTCATGTAATGAAAAGTACTCACTGACAGAGGAGATGAAGTGGGTAGTCTAATATACTCAGTAAAGAAACTATTTCATAATTATTATTATTAAGGAAATAATTTTTTTTTACTAATAATTACATTCCACTTTACTACCTTGTAGCTACCACATAAACCAACCAGAAATGTTTCTATTATTGGATAGAAATTAATCAACACCTCAAATAAATGAGTACTTTGTGAGCAGTGTCATGATAGTAAGTTATAATTTGTCCTAAGAACCACTGTGGTGTACATTATTTTTTCAACCTAAATGTATTGGAAACCATTATTCTAGACAATATTAATTTTGAAATTTTAGATAACAGGAGGAAAAATGTGCATGTTGAAGCTAATTTTGCAAAGCAATAAAAATCACACATCTTTGTTTCCAAAGGTTCGCCTAAGGATCATGAACGTAATGGATGCACATTATGTAAAAGTGATAGATACTGTGAACCACATGATCATGAATACCGCTGTCCTTGTGAATGGCACCAGACAGACCATAATAGGCAACTAAATGAAATAGAAAACAATATTAAAAAGTAAGTTGTTTCTAAGCATGGAATGTTTTTTTGCTATGACCTATATAGGCATCTGTGGTTGATTTACTTCCACAATAACCTTCCCCTACATGTCTAGATTAGTCATGCCTCACATACTGTGTTTTTTGTTTGTTTTTTTTTGTTTGTGTGTGTGTGTGTGTGTGTGTGTGTGTGTGTGTGTGTGTATTCATCCATCTGGGCTAGTCATGGTGGCACACACCTTTAATCCCAGCATACTTGGGAGGCAGAGAGGCCAGGAGGCCAGCCTGGTTTACATTGCAAATTCCAGGCAAGCCAGAGTTATATAGTGAAACTCTGTGTCATGAAAACCAAAAGGAAAAAAAAAAATAATTCATTTAAGAGGTTGGCTTAACAGGTAAAGGTTCTTGCTTCCAACCCTGATAACCTGAGTTTAGTCACAAGAGCACATGTGGTAGAGGAGAGAACCTACTCTAGCAAACTATCCTCTGACCTCCACACATGTGCTGTGTACATTTTCCTACACAAATTCACATACACTCACATACATTCACATAACTCACATAATGGTAATGATTAATAAAAAATAAATTAAAGCTCTTCATTTTGGATTGTATTCCAAGCATTAGTCTTAAATCTTTAAATACATGTTGTTTTGAGAGTATTATTTATTACTGTATATACACCCAAACAAATAAATAAATATTACAAGTTAAAAATAAAATTTTATCTGTGAAGGTAGCAATTTAATAGTTTTTCAAAGAAAGGCTCAAAAATTGTAAGATACTATAGGTGATATTTCTTATAAAACAAGGGGATTGGATGGGATTTCAGGCTATCTAATTATCTGATTGTATTGATAAGATGTATAATTTATCTCTAGGAAAGCTTGCAGTTGCGAAGGATTTCCATTTCATGAGGTAATAATCCAGTTATGTATTTATTTTTAAAAATAGTTGGAAGTTTTAAAGTCTTGATTCCTGTTTTTTTGTCTTTTTTTTACACTTAGGTCATCCAAGAATTCCTTTTGAATAAGAATAAAATGTTGAAACCAATCAGGTATCAAAGACCTGATTTACTATTGTTTCAGGTATCTGAAATAAATTTTACTTAGTAGTACAAAATTAAACATGAGGAAAATTAGAAGGATATTAGCTTCTGTGTATGAGAGGAGACTTAAGAACTAAAACAGAAAACTGTTGACTGTCCCTGTGTTATTCAGTATTCATTTCTAACCGTTACCCCATGGCTATGCAAGATCCGTACGTTCCAGGCCATAACAGGCTACTTCTCAGAAGCTGTCTCAATCACCATGTGCAGACAAATTGAATCCAGGAATATGTCTGGGAAAGAAGCGCTTGGGACAGGGGATGCTAAGATCAAATATACTATATGACCCTTAATATGGAATGTCCTTAAAATAGAAATAATATTATCACCTCATCAAGTCACCATGAGTATTAAATGAGATTACTTTAACCCCTGATGTTGTAATTAGGGGGAAAGGTTGGCTCAGTAAATCTACTTGTACTTTACCTTGTTGACAACTATTATACTTAATAAATGTCTTCCCATTTAATCTATATAATCTGTCAACAGGGTTACATTCTCTCCATTTAAAAATGGAAAAATGGACCAAGGAGCTTAGCCCACCCTCCCAAACATAAACTGCCATTCTGATCAGTGGACCCTCTCAACCACATTATTGTTTAACACTTTCTTCTTGCGGAGCTTGTTGATTCTTCTGGGAATAGTCTCATTAATATTACGTTAGCATTACTCTTTTAAAAAGTGATATTGTCTAAGAGCACTTGTTTTGTCTTAAATTTTTTCATCTTTATTTTTACTGTATTTATAGAGATTTACTGTTCAAAAAATGGAGTGGCCTAGTCACTATGCATGTGAGAAATTGTTGGTGCTTTTGACCCGCTATGACATGATAGAAAGAAAACTTGGCAGAAGGAACTCTAACCAACTACAACCGATTAGGTAATGCAGTCTAAAGAATTGTGTGGTCCGGGCTGGAGAAATGGCTCAGCAGTTAAGAGCAACTGTTGCTCTGGCAGGGGTCCTGCTGTTCACTTCCCAGCACCCCTATGGTAGTTCACAAATATCTGTGACTCCAGTTTTAGGGGATCTGATGCCTTCTTCTGACGTCTGTGGGCACCAGGCATGCTTGTGTTACACAGACATATATGTGGGTAAAACTCACATATGTGTAAAATAAATAAATCTAAAAAAATAATTTCTAAAACTAACATAGAAAAAAAGAATTTTGTAAAGACTGTTTCCACATGACTATTTGATCAGAAGTATTAGTATTTCTCCCTGTGGGTATGATATCTGTTTTCCAAAGATAGAGGAAATTCAAGTATTGGCATACTTTTGACTTCTAATGCATGCTATTTAAAAAGTATTAAAATGACTTAACAAAGAACTATTCTAGTGAGCCAGAAGAAAAACAGCAAATGATAAGTAATATTTTAAAGTAAAAGTAACTGGCAACATTGAAATGACTAAACATTGTTCATAGCAAAGAATTTTTCATACACTTCAAGACTAAGATATTTTACTACATGAGAGTTTCATTAAAAGCACTATTAAACAGCTGTGCAATAGTAGGGCACACCTTTAATCCCAGGATTCAGGAGGCAGAGATGGGTGGAACTCTGAGTTTGAGGCTAGCCTCATAGTGAGTTCCAGGACAGCTAGGCTGCATAATGAAACTGTGTCTTGTTGGGGGTGGAGAAGGTACTGTTAAGCAAAGTATAGGAGCACACTCCTTTCATCCCAGAACTGGAGGCAGAGGCAAACGAATCTCTGTGAGTTAAGGCCTACCAGGGCTGCATAGTGAAACCTTGTCTCAAAACAAGCAAGCAAACGTACCTACAAAGTACTATAGTGAGTACACATCAAGAAACAACGTGAAGCCAGGAGGAAGATGTGGAGTCAAACATTGGTCAGTAATTTAAAGAACTGAGTAAAATTATAACTCACATAATGGTAATGATTAATAAATAATAAATTAAAGCTCTTCATTTTGGATTGTATTCCAAGCATTAGTCTTAAATCTTTAAATACATATTTTGAGAGTATTATTTATTGCTGTGTATTGATATGTGTTACTACTAGATATACAATGACATTAAAACAATTACAGTTAAAATATGAAATAAAACTATCAAACCAAGAGTGTGTATATATATATATATATGTGTGTGTATATATATGTGTATATATATATATACATATATATATATGTATATATATATATACACATATATATATATGAAGGAAGGAAGGAAATAGCAGTAAACTGCTAACAGAAAAAAGTTATGAATGAGTCCAAGTCTCACTAGTCATAATAAATGTAAATGGATTAAATTTCTTTAATTAAAAAACAGATTGCATTGGATAAGTAGAGAAAATTTTCATAAAAAATACAAAATACGTATGTAAAGTTCAAAAACAAAGATTTAAGATTTAGTAGGCAAATACCAAACAAAATACACTTTAAAACAGAAATCATAGAAAAAGCAATACTACACAATAATGAAAGAATATTGAGGGGCAGGAGAGATGGCTCAGAATAGCACTTGTTGGACCCGAGTTCAATTCCCAGAACCTATATAGTGGTTCACACGTATCTGTCAGTCCAGTTCCAGGGCATCTGAGTCTCTGTTCGACCTCTGTGGGCACCAGGTATGTAGCTGGTGCATATGCATCTACAAACATGCAGATAAAATACATAAAATAATATATAATACTGAGTAAATCCAACAATTTCAACTCTACCTCACAATGAAATTATTTGATTAATTCCAAAGAATATCTAGACAGTAATTACTTTTATTTTCACTTTGATTAAATATTGATGGAAATTGAAGTGTGTGAATTAAATTTCACAAATAACTTGTACAGCTGGGCATGGTGGTATACACCTGTGGTCCCAGCACTCGGAGGCAGAGGCAGGCAGATCTCTGAGACTGAGGCCAGCCTGGTCTACAAAGCATGTCCAGGACAGTCAAGGCTACACAGAGAAACCCTCTCTCAAAAAACAAACAAGCAAAAAACCTAAATAACATATAATTAGACCTCAGTATATGAATTTATTTTTCAGAATTGTTAAGCCCCGAATCAGAAATGGAGTTCGCTGTCTTGAAATACAATGGGAAAAACCTGGTATGTATGTTATACACAGAATGTCTAATACAACATTTGATACAAATGTGATATAGATGGTGAATATATAGAAATCATGGATGCTTGTGAAAAAATTCACATGCATTATGACTTATTTTTTATTTTACTTGTTTCATTTAAATAGAATTTGACTAATAAAGGTGATAAAATTCAGGTGCTTTTATTTTTATTGTCTCTGATATTTCTTTAATGTTTGGAAATAATACCAAAATAGAACTATGATTCATAGTTCTTAAGAAATTACTTCCACAAATGATCTGTCTTTGAGGTCTTCTATTTAGCTGTTTCTAAAGCAATTGGGTGAGTGAATGGTAGCTAAACTTTTCGTCCCTCTCCTTCACTGTATTTAGTTTTCATAGGAATTTGTACTTTCACAACAACAACATAAAAATAGTGTAAGCTCTAGATGAGCTCCCAGACTACAGACAAGAAAAGCAAGTGAATTAAATGGAAAATGGAAATGACCCCAGAATCCTGAGCTTTTGTGTGTGGAGCTGTGGGTGTGAGTGCCCACACAAGCATGGTGTGGTGCACGTGTGGAGGCTGGAGGACAATTGTAGGATTCGGTTTTTTCCTTAGATCTTATTTTAGTAAATATAAAACACATCACAGGCTTAAAAATCTATAGTCTTAGCAGGGCAGCGGTGGCACATGGCTTTGATCCCAGCACTCGGGAGGCAGAGGTAGGTGGGTCTCTATGAGTTCGAGGCCAGCCTGGTCTACAGAAAGAGTTTCAGGACAGCCAAGGCTACACAGAGAAAATATCTTGAAAACAACAAAACCCGAGAATCTTAATTCAAAATGACACATCACCATCGTAGTCTTTAAGGAACTCTCAAATTTCCCTTTGAAACCTCGGAAGTGAGGCCTTTATCCTCCAAACTGATCTCAATATTCTTATCTTCCAACCTTCTACAGAACAGCCCACAGAGCTTAGTCCAGAGTTCCAAAGTTTTCCACAATCCTCCCCAAAACAATGTGGTCAGAGCTGTCACAACAATAGTCCATATCCACTTTATATGTCTTTTTTTTTATTTTTGTATGCCTTTTATTTTCTTTTTAATGTACAAAGTAAGGTTTTCTTAGGGCATTTTCACACATAGTCTTTTCTGGTCTACACAAACACACATATGTGTGTGCATCTTCTCCCCTCTACCACTTTCCATTTATACCATCGGTATTACCACTTCCAGTATTACCCTTTCTGCTTACGTATCATGTATTCAATTGCCCTCTGCCACCACGCTTTCCTATAGGGTCCAGCTGTACCAATCCTAGGCAGATTCTTAAAGGACTGCCCTTCCAGAGAGATACTAGCACATATTTATTGGCACTATATTCACATTAGAAAGCACTATACAGACTAGAGGTATATATGAGTAAATGAATGAATTATGAAAAAATGTAGTGCATTTTATTCAGCCATAAAGAAAAAGTTATGAAATTTGCAGGAAAATGATAGAACTGGAAAATATTAAGTGAGGCAAACTGGGCTCAGAAAAACAAACAGCACTATTCTCTCATATACAAATCTTAGATTTTTGCTTTTCTGTATATATTTTATTGTAAATATCCATATAGACATCCTCATTTCAGCTGTTTGTGGATCCTCTAATGCTGGAATATCTTTAAGAAACTGATAGCCAAGGCAGAGCATATGGAGATGTGGCTTTCCTAGTATACAAAGAAGTATAAATATGTTGTATAAGACAAGACAAAAGAGGCCCTTTGTCTTAAGAAATTGCTTCTTCTGTTCCTTATCTATAATTTTTCATTTTCTCCAAAGAAAGTTTTCTAATTCTCTCACTGATGCTACCCTTTCTGAAACAAGAGAATTTAAAGTTCTAATGTGAGAAGAATTCTCCCTTTCAGCTCCTATAGAAAATAGTCAGTTTAAATACCAGCAGCAACAAAGTACATGAGGGTAGGAGAGAGAAAAGAGCCAGGCAGTAAGCAATGAGGTGGTAATAGTAAGTGATCATGAAACAGTCTATGCATGTATGTAATTACTAGATCTAAATAATAGAAAAATGACAGTGTTGTAGCGCAAGATTTGTGGTCAATTATTCATTTTTGGATAGAACAGTTTTCTTGGTAACTACTTGGGAAACTGGGTTTTTAAATATTTGTTTGTTTGCTTTGCTGTATTTGTAATCTAGAACACTATGCAGTGGAAGATACAGAATCTGGAGAACTGGATCTCCTTACAGTTGAAGAAGCAACACTGTTTGAAGAAGCCTATCCTGAGGTTGTTGCCATCTACCAGAAACAACAGTCAGAAACTAAAGGAAAGAAACAGAAAAGTAAGTGTTGTGTTGGATGTGCCGTGCACTAATGTTACGGGACAGCCACCTGACCTTTCTGACCTGATCCTGTCTATGTTTTGTTGAAAATTTTTAAGAACAGTGCTGCTGCTTCCCTGTTCTCACACATGGCATCCTCTGATGCTGCAGTGCTGGGGAATCACACTTTAGGGCCTTCCAAATGCCAGCCAGGTATTCTATCGTCGCATTTCGTACCACGCCCCACACTGTACCTTTGAAAACTGAAATGCTGAGGGTCCACCACTATGCTCTGTGTTCACTAAATAACTTGAATAAGTTAAGCACAGAGTAGTGAATGTGCTGTAACACTAACCAACTTTAGAGCAGCTACTGCAAAGATATTTTGTGTTATAAGTGCATTTTGTTTATTATTCAGAATTTTGTGAAGTAACTCAATAATGACATTTTTCCAGAGGAAAATATTTTACAGTGTTTCCAAGAATGTACTGTATAGTGGGTGGAGATGGGCAAAAAAGATAGATAGATAGATAGATAGATAGATAGATAGATAGATAGATAGA